ACTCCATCACTATTTTAGTTCTTTGAAACAAGTTTAGGCTGATATCTAGAGCATTAGCATATAATTTCTGGATGGATAAAGTTACTTCTAAGAAAAAGCTATGTACGCATCACACGCTGAATGTTACAATTCGGTGTTACAATTCTTCTAATGTTACAAAAAAAGAAGCCCTTTACCAGTGATCGTCCCATTTCGAAACGAGTTTGTGATCGGACAGAGCGATTCTTTACTAAAATGAACTTCCATAATATACGAGCTTCTTCATCTTGAACAGCGAAACCTTCTTTACAGTCTTGCTATCCCTAAAAAGGGTTTTTGGCACTGATCTATGAATCAGAGAACGTTTCGAATCGAATCAATTGACGGATCAGATTTGCATATCAAAAAACAAGTTGTTGCCCTCTGTTAATCAATAAACCAGACGCTGTTAATCTGATATAGTAAAATTTGGTTAATTTCGGAGATACCAAGAAAAGGCTCCGATGCCAAAAAAATCTCTCTTGTTAGTGAGAAAGCTACTGAAATTGCTCCTTAGAAGTCTGTAAAACAGCTAGTATAAAAACTGCAGAGTACTTCTCATATTCTTTTAGGGTCGTTTAGCTTAAACTAACAATATTAGCATTTTAATGTAATTGACACTCTGGAAAACTCGAAAAATGAACGAAACATTCAATAAGTGGCGAATATATATTGGCTGCGACAGTTGAATGTGTTCACTAAGTGAAAAAATTGCACGACTCCTTCTAGAGAAAGCTTAAAAAAAAGATTTTACTATATGTGACTATGACGGAGGTCGCTAGAGATTTATTTGAAGGAGGGTGAATGGAGAAAAGTCTCGTGGTAACGCATAGATTTTATGTGCCAAGGTCGAGTTTTTGATGCATAGAGACACTGGGCGACATGAACAAATTTTTTTGGATTATGATTGTTGACGTTTATCTAAAATCATTCAAATGGGAATATATCAAACAGAAAGATACTTTTCTCTGTGCCTTACTAATTTAAAAAATTATTTACCTGAATAATAAACTCTTCCAATAAACAGTGTTCATGAAAAATATGTTCGTTTATTCTATGTGTAATAATCTTTTTTTCATTCTTTTTTAAATCGATTGTTAAATGTTTTAGATTTTTAAATAAATGTGCACATAATAATAATTCATGTTCACTCACATTAAACAGATAAATATAATTTAAATTAGATAATAATGATGATAATATTAATGTATAATGAGTTGATAAGAAAATAATTTGATTAAAACGGTGTTTATGTCCAATAGAAAGTGAATTGATATTTGTTGAAATAAATGGTAAAACTTTTGTACAATAAAAATTAAGTTGTCTCATTGTTAAACATACTTGTGTATATTTTTGAACAAAAGGGTGTATATGTTGATCGATAGGGATAACAGTGAAAGTTTATTTATGCTTGAAAGATAACGCTTTTTTTACTGTTCTCATTCAAAAGAAAAGAAATAACGAACATATTCTCTCTTTAATGTACATGGACACACTGTCCATGAAAAGAAAAACTGATTCGACATACGCATAGAGGGAATGCAGTTAAAGGCAAATTATCTGCAACTCAATCACTACCTTCATAGGAAACTTTGTGTTCCATTCCCTCTATGCGTATGTGGAACTAAGCCTGAAACGTTCGATCATTATTTTCTTCGTAGTTCCTTATATGATAAACACCGCAATAGTCTTTTTCCTAAGCTTTGTTAAAAAGCCAACAACGAACATCTTATTGCTAAACGAGCATAGTATCGATTGGAATACACAAAAGTTAGTACTTGCAGCTGTGATACTCTTTGCCGAAAAAAGCAAAACGCTTCTTGTAAGCAGCTAATTTCTTCGCACGACCTCTTAAGCACCGAACACCTTTAAATGGTAATAATGATTAACAAAACTAACTCGATTTCGATTATTCACTCGAATCAATTTTTCCTTTTTGTTCCATTTTTTTTTTGTTTTATTTTTTGCCATCACCCATTTTCTTTCTTTCATTCTTTTGTCTATTCTAGAAAAAAATAATATAAGTGTCAGTTGAAAAGGCAATGAGTACTTCTTATCAACTTTGAGTTTGTTTGTCACTCCTTTAGAGTCAATAAAAAAAATGTAATTCAATTCCGTATATAAAGGATGAATTGTGTATGTTGCATGCTGTTATTCACTCGATGAGACAAACACAGTAACACATACATCAGAAAAAGAGAATAACAAGTGATTTACAAGTAAGTAATTCATGATACAAGAATTCGTTGGACGAAGGCTACTTGTTAGAATTACGAAGTTTGTTTAGCTCGACTATATTGTTGATTACAAAAACTATTTTTAATCTTTTCTAATATCTTAATCTTTTAATCTTTTAATTCCTGATATCGATGTAAGCATAAAATACATTGCTTTAAGTTAACTATCATTCCAATATAGCCAAAACAAAATTTTAGTGCAATGCGTTTTTGAAAAAGAGAAAAAAGTCAAATGAGTCACAAGGACAAGTCGTATGCCTTTTGTCTTTTCAATTTCGGTAGCCCCTGAACTTTAATCGCTGTTAGTTTCAGCTTTTCATCTCAAACCTTTCATTTTTCGAGAATAAACCATTTAAACTGAGTCGATGTGTTGAACAAAGTTAGCACAATTACATCACTTTCTGATCTAGACACTGTTGCAAGCTATAAGAAGGGGATTGTTGAAATTTTTCCCGTGAATAATTCTTATAAAGTTGCATTTTTGCTGAAGGTTTCATTTAAGTTCGGCAAAATTTAAAGTATTACTGAATTTTCATCTGGACACACTGTATGATAAGATGATTATATCTTGTGGAGAAAACATTTTCAGACGTCATCCATCTTTTGGTTGTATCCAGTCCGCACCAGCCCTGCATATGGTATAAATTTCAGCTCGATAAGTCGGATCAATTATCTGATACTGTCAGACTCTATCAGGATATGGGTGTCAAGGCTATTATATATATTCTCTTGTGCTCTAAAAATACAATATTCTCTCAACTGTGTTACTTGATAAGTTTAGCAAAGAAGACAACTCTTGTCTAAACTTATTGCAATATAGCTTGTCTTTGTCTTTAGATAATTATGTTGAAATTATATTCAACAACAGAAGGAAGAGATCCTGTCAACAAAATAATTGGTGATTCTAGTTTAGAGAACAAATTTGACCACAATCCTAATGATGTCAATGAACAATTTCGAATTCGTACTCACCTTGAATATGTCGAAAATATAATTCGTAACCAGTCACCATTATCATTAATGAAACTAAATGCATTAAATCATCTAAATGAGTATTGGAAGAGGGGTCAATTTCCAACACATAATCATTTTCAACAACAACGTTTACCACGTTTTATTGATCACAACGGTATACATTGTGCTGCTGGTTATATGATATTGAAATCACCTGGTTTCGAATATTTACCGAACAAAATCAACGCAAGATATGAGTACTCTTTCATTGATCAAATTGCTAACAGTACTGATAACCATTTAAATAAATGGATGAATATGTATGAGTTTAATGTAAACGAATTATCAATGATTCAGCCAACTTATGAATTCTTAAATAGAAGACAATCCGAAAAAAGAGATATGTCAAGTAAAGAACAATCTCAAGTAAAGAACAATAGCTTAGATGAGAAGGAGAAATTGTCACAATCGACAAAAGTGATCCAGCCACCTACGATTTCTAAACCGGATAGAAGACAGCCCGAAGAAAGAGACATATCAAGTAAAGAACAATTTCAAGTGAAGAACAATAGCTTAGATGAGGAGGAGAAATCATCACAATCGACAAAGTGATCCGCCCATTTGCGGTTTCTAAAACATAAGCTAAAAACAAAAAATGTAATCCACTGATGGTGATTGCGTACAACGATGACTATTTATGTTTTAGTTTATGATGCTAATTTCATTTTAATTATGTCGTAGTGTGTCAACGATTCAGATAACTTTTTGTATAGTGATGGAAGCACTTTTTCCCATCAGAATGGTTCTCATGAGTTATTTATTTGAAAAATGTGAAAGACGATCCTCAAAAATCAAAACTTGGCCATATCAAAGAGAAATTTGTTAATATGTTGATTACAGATAGTGAAGAACTGATTATAGTTGAAAAAGAAATGAAGTTTTCAACCGACAGTTGTGTTTTTAGATACGAATAAAAGCATGCTCTGAAATATCACCAATATCATTTTTCTTTAAAAATGTTGCAACTTGATTCAAAAGTAAAGTTTTAAAACAGTTGGTAGGATGAGACTAATTCTATTAGAACTCATAATAGTACCAATGTAGATCGCATTTAAGCTTTCACCAACGATCTTGTGTTCCATTACATCTGTTTCTTAGTTATGTTTCAATATTTCATGTAGTATCTACAGATGAGAGTTTAACTATAGCTAAATATTGTTTCAGTCAATTAGATAGATGAACACGCCTTTAACAGAAACACAGTTCATCAGAAACAAAATTGGCAGAATATAAGATATTCAAAGATCGATGCTATATTCAACAATCGTTTGACGAAAGCACCATTCATATTTTATTGAATCGAAATTAAATTAAATTAAAATTATTCGACGTTTTGGCTGTCCATACAATCATTTTCAACAAAACACACTGCACAAGAAAATTAAACGAAATAGAATAAGAAAAAGCGTATATATATACAGCACTCGTACTAACTGAACAGAACAAGAAAGAATTTTCTTCTTCACTCTTTTCGTTTCTCTTAGAAAAGAAGAAATTGTTTAGACTGTACTATTCATTATTAGTAGTCATTCGTTATTTATTCTATCGCCTCCTAGATCATCTTTACTGCTCCTCGATAAATCATATGGAAATACAATTAATGGCACTAATCTAACTGTGCTATTCAGATTGGATTTATAGGCTAAAATAAATAAAGACTCCTTAATTAACAGGTGTTTCTACGTTTTTCCGCGCTGCATCGTCAAAAATGTGTGACCAAAACAACTTTATATGAACGACACAGTGTGTCCATGTACATTAAAGAGAGAATAAGTTCGTTATTTCTTTTCTTTTGAATGAGAACAGTAAAATAAAAGCGTTATCTTTCAAGCATAAATGAACTTTCACTGTTATCTTTATCGATCAATATATACACCCTTTTGTTCAAAAATATACACAAGTATGGATATGCTATACACAAGTAGAAATGAGATGTATGTAAACAGTGAAAACCACATTTTTAGATGGTCTTTTGCTCATTGAATCCGATGCACGCCTCATATTGGACTTTAAAGTTGAATTTGATGGAGAAAAATTGATTTCAAAACAAGTCATTTTCACGTTTCTCGGTCATTTTTGAAACCCATATAAAAGGGTCGCAGGAGCGTTTTGAAATTTAGGTCTAGCAGGCTATTTTATTCCATGCGCTCTCTAGTATAGACCTTGAAAGTTTTAGCTCGGTCAGCTTGATACTGAGAGAAAAAACTTAGTTTCAAAAACCGTTAAAAATGCAGTAAAACGCCATCTTTCGGCCGATTTTTGGACCCCGCGGCAATGTTTAAGTTTTTTAATAACATATTCGGAATCAGCGTCAAATTCTCTATCGAATGAGGTAGATCTCCGTCTATGTGCCACGACTTCATGTAATGGTGGTATATTATCCTTTCGCCAAAACTCATCAAAATGTTTGGTCTAAAAGGCTCAACTAGTGAGCAAATTTTGAGAACATCAATTGAAGAACGTTGGTCGTGGCTTAGATGCAATCGTTCTTAGATAAACATTTTATTTATTACTGCTGTTTTATCTCACTTTACTAATTCTTTTACTGTGTTTTACTCTTACTCTTATTTTTGATTCTTACTCTTATTGTTACTGGAATGAGTACTTCTTGCTATATAATGGTACGTGGATGACAAAAGCTCCGTCTGCAACTATACTAACAAGATAAGTGACGGCACCTTTTTATGTTGGAGTTTAATATACTGTTCATAGGCTTCCCGTAATTGATTATAATCAGATTGAACAAAAGAGACGTCTAACGTAAGAACATGAGAAGAAGGTCAGCGAAAACGTAGACAAAGAGGATGGAGAGGCATCAGATATGCAATTTAGTTGGTTTTTTTTATTGGAAAAACGCAATAGTTAAATTATCAACTGATACTGGATTATATGTTCAACAAAACCTACAAAACATCTTCAAGTAAATATTGTACCAACAAGGAACCCGCAATACATTTTTCGTCATGAGGGATTTGAAAAAAGCCTATGTTCTTTTTGGAAGCAATTTTTGAAGCCAAATGTATGCATAAAGAATGGTGTGGAAGAGAATTGCTTTGCTAGCACCGGTACTGTGCAATAAAATCGTGGTCGAAAATACACTTTGTTCAGGTAGTTTTCCGAGCTGCCAAAGTCGTTTTTTCAAAAGAAAAAGGCCAGCTTAACGCCTAATGTACTTGTAGATAGGCACATTGTGTTGAAGATGATCATGGAGAAATTATTGAACAAATAAAAAATATTCTAAAGACACTTCACTGATCGTTTGAGCTCATATTCTGCTAATCGATAAGGCACATCAGTGTAACAAAAAGCTCAAAAAGATTTCTGTCCGAGTTATGATCAGTTTAGTGCAATTCGACTGTTTTCGTACTTCGTCGAAAACAGTATGAAAATAATCAATACGAACAAACGAAAATTGATGAATATGAACAATCGTATCAATCATCAGATGCAATTAGATGGTACACAAGAGACTGTTTTCTATTTCGATTATTATATAAAGCATTTAGAACAGACAGAAAGTATTGATATTATCTTTAAATATCGATCTTTCATTATTGATCTTTGGAGTCAAACAAAGAGTAAATCCGATAGAATATACAAACAGTTTAAATGTACTCCATAGCCTTCTGCTGGCGTCA